AGATCCCCTTACCGGTCATCTTTAAAAATAAATAAATAAATAAAAGCAATCTCTTTTAGATCTGGAGATGCTTTATAGTAGAGCACTTAAGTACTGGATTTTCTGGCATGGAGACATTGGGAAGGTTAATGACATTATTTGGCTGAGAGAAATGACATGAGTCCAACTTCCCTCATTTCTTTTTTATGTGACATGGAGCACAAAGAATAGAAAATATGTTTTGAGAGAATTTAAGATTCCTGACCTCAGTTGAAATTGCTTCTATATCATTTGGACAAAAAGCATCATGTTTTGATGACATTTGTGAAATTACAGGTATGCCAATGATTACTCAGTTTTAGGACTTTCTGTGGAAGGAATAATTAAATAAAAGAGAGAAGAAATTGATGCCATTAATTTTGAAGTTCTGCAACAGATGAGATTTTATGTTTGTAAAGTTTTGTAGTATATTAATCATTGGTTTATAAGTATGACTCAAGATTCAGCATATTAAAATGCATTCAAGTTTACTGACTTTTAATCAACAAGGCCCATCACATTATGTTAGCTTTCTTTTGTTTGTTTTTTTTCACTTTTGCTTATGGACAGTTATTAAAGGAGTAAGAATCTCCGTTTTTCACCAAATTCCTAGTAAGAGATGCTATAGAATCCAAAGTGAGAACTGAATTAGACCACAAGTCTCCTATTTCTACTAATACTGTTCTTTGTCATGGTGTTACTGCTGTATCACTTGTTTTCCAGAAGTCGGGGTGGATTTATTTTGATCCATCCTCATGCCCTTGAACTCTTTTGACACTTTCTCATGATTACTCAGTTTTAGGACTTTCTATGGAAGGAATAATTAATTAAAAGGGAGAAGAAATTGATTCCATTAATTTTGAAGTTCTGCAACAGATGAGATTTTATGTTTGTAAAGTTTTGTAGTATATTAATCATTGGTTTATAAGTATGACTCAAGATTCAGCATATTAAAATGTATTCAAGTTTACTGATTTTTAATCATCAAGGCCCATCACATTATGTTAGCTTTCTTTTGTTTTTTCACTTCTGCTTATGGACAGTTATTAAAGGAGTAAGAATCTTCCTGTTTTTCACCAAATTCTTAGTAAGAGATGCTATAGAATCCAAAGTGAGAACTGGATTAGACCACAAGTCTCCTGTTTCTACTAATACTGTTTTTTGTGATGGTGTTACTGCAATATCACTTGTTTTCCAGAAGTTGGGGTGGATTTATTTTGATCCATCCCAATGCCCTTGAACTCTTTTGGCACTCTCTTGTGCTCTGAAAAACTGAGCCAGCTTTGTAGATCTACATGGATAAACAAACTGTATTTTACCAACAAAATCTTAGCTTGCTTCTTGCTAACTAAAAATCTGCAATTTACACACCTCTCTGCCTTCAAGACCGTAAGCTTTAGATAACCCTGGTTATCTTAAATGTTTGTCAACAAGAAAAGTCACTTAATGTGTCAGTGCGTTGTATCTCCTTTGATCTGTATTACATGGATTGTTTAAGAAGTCTAGCAAACATGTTTCTTAACTTCCTTCAGAATGGTGCCAGGTGTCATTCTGATCAGACTTCAGCTCAGGTTTTAATTTCTATTGAATTAGAAACCTGATTTTTTGGTATCTTTTGTCATCATGTTAGTTCCTGCTGTATTAATGACAATTATCCATAAAAATAAAAAGTGAAATATCTTGCATTAAAAAAAAAACGATTGTTGTTTTATGCCACAAAGTATAATACAAGCAATAGACAACTGGAACATTTGAGCTCAGTCACTTCTAGGGTCAGAAAAGATGTCTAGGAGAGATGTGCACGGCTCTGCCTCACACACAGTGGACTGCGAATGAGGATGTTTCCTGTGGCTGCAGCTGCTGGTAAGTTTCCCTCTGTAATTTACACGGTGAGGAAGCGTGGCTGGTGTGGGCACGTTGCCACTCACAGCTGTTCTCCGGCGCTGAGCAGGGTGCAGGCTGCTGCCTCTTGAGGTCTCGCCCTTTCCTGATGCAGAAAAAGGAGTCAAGATGTGGCGGGAGGGGTCCCAACGACTAACTGTTCATTGTGTGGGCAGTCCTCCTCGGCCTCCTGCCACTGCTCACGGTGCTCTGTGCAAATCCTCAACCTCACTCAAAGAAGAGTTGTCTTCAAGAGCAAGCCAGCAGATGAGGCCAAGGAGAGGAAACGGACGCCAGCGAAGCGCACTGCAAGAATAATGCGGGCCACCAGAGGGAGCACCCAGGAAGCGAGGGAGGGTTCGGACAGCTTCTCTCCTCCGACTCAGAGAAATGACAGGCAATGTGATCTCTCCAAAAAAAGGATCTAAGGACAGAGATATAATGGCTCCAAAAAATGGTTCCAAATAAAATATGGAGAAAAATAGGAGCAGAGAGAGCCCAGGAGGAATATAAGTGGAAGACAATAATAATTATTATTATTATTAAAACAACTTTATTGAGGGTAAATACATACGTTTTTGAAAACTAAAAAAGAAAAAGGCATGGACTGTTATTTCATTAAGAGTGAACGGGGTGAGGTTAAACGTGAAGGGTGAGCTTTCTGGGCTTGCTGGGGCACAGCTCGGGGGTGGAGAGAGCAAAGCTTAGGTCAAACCCAGGATTGGGTGCTGGTGGGGGTGCTGGCTGAGCTGGCTGGGGGTGGGGAGTGTCACAGGTACCAGGGGTAGATCTGAGCTCCTCCAGGCACGGGAAAGTCCAAAATGCCCTGGGACCTCAGCTACTGGACAGTATAACAGTCCATTCTCTTGGAGTCATCCTGAAGCCACAGGAAAGGAGGCTGAGGCAGGATTCACACAATGAGACTGCAGGTGCCTCCGAGGAGTCAGTGTGTACAGGGGATACAGTATCCTTTCCTTTCTCTTCTCCCGAGGTGGAAGTGGCAGGCGGAGGAGAGGCCCCATCAGGGTCCCGGAGCTACACGGGCAGAGGGAGAATGGGCTTGTGTTCCTGGAACCATGACAGGGGACTCTCCCCCACTGCAGGGACCTATATCTCCTCTGGAACCACAGTCACTGCTCATTGCCTGATAGGAGGCCAGGAGGTGCCGCTTGTCCGGTCTGAGGGTGTCGATGGTGGGAGCTGTGCATCTCTGGCTCAGGCTGACTTCATTTCCCCCTGTAGTGCCTCTGAGTCCTGCTCACTCACGGCACAGCACAGAGCAGGCCCCCAAGCAGCAGCACCTTCAGGAAGGTCAGTAGCACAAAGAAGATGTTGCAGAGCAGAATTCTGGACAAGGGGACAAAGTGACAGGAGTGAGCTGCTGCTTCAGGCCAGCCCCAGACCCCACTCTCCAGCCTCCCTGAACCAACATCTGTGGCTCCAATTACCTGCGTGACAGGCACGCCTGGTCCCTCGCCAGAGAAGCCCCCTCCGAGGGGCATGGTCATGCTGCCCAAAGCCGAAGCCTTCAGAGGCCTCTCCAGAGGCTGGTGCGGGACCCAGCCCCTTTCCGTCTGTTGCTGTCCCACCTTCAGGCCTGCCTCCCACAGTCCCTGCCTCTCATCTGCAGTCCAGCCACGCCCGAGGGTTGGCATGTCCTGACTTTTTGCCTCTGTTTCTGCCCTTCTCTGCCTTGTGTCCCTTTGTATATTCTGCCCATCTTTCAAATTAGATCTAATATTGCCTCTCTGAAGCAGTGGAAGATTTCTCCTAACCTGGGTCAACCTGGCTATTTTCCTACTTAGTTCTCCTGGGAGGGGTCTCTCCCTGGTCTGATCCCATGTGATAGCAGGTATGAGACGTGCCATCTCACATGTCCCATATAATTGACACTTGGTCTAATTATACCATGGGCCCCTGGTTGTTTATGTTCCCGAGGTTGTCCCTATCACTGTGTAAAAGACTCTGATCCCTCCCATGCCTCATCCCCTCCCCACACGGCTGTGGGTCCCCTGGTTCTCCCCGTGGCCCCAAGCCCAGAAAGTGGGAGCTTTGAAGAGTCACGTGGATTTCACTGACAGTTTTCTTGACAGAGAGCGACCATGGTGCCTTGTACATCCTAAAAATATCCTCTAAACCACTGTGCTCCTCTCAAAAGTCCTACTCCCTGTGCAGCGGCTGCATCCTCTGTCTGTCCTGGCCAAGTCTCCCCTTCTGCTCCTCCAACTTTCTAAAATCCCGTGTTCCGTGCTCTCAGCAGGACAATCACTCTCCAACAGCCACAAGCAAGATCAAAGCCAGTGCGAGAAGCATCCGCTAGCGCCGCGCCTCCTCCAGGCTGGTAACTGAACACACTGCTGTGTCCTCTGCAAGGAAGCGTGCTGGGCTGCAGAAGGGAACTGAGCCAGTGGACAGTGATTCTGAGAGTCAAGACCTGGGTGGAGAAGGGAGCTTGACCTTGGATGTTGAGGGGACCGAAGGCACCAGGCTGTGATGGGATGAAACTGGGGCAGCTTGCTCCCGCTTTGATGAAAGATCTTACTGGTTGCTTTTCAGATGCCTTGGGGCAGGGGTGGACCTCAGGCTGATGTCCACGCCTCTCTTCCATGTCGGGAAGGTGAGAAAGCAGGGTGCCTAGCTCCTGACTGCCCCTCTCAGCCTCTCCCAGCACTTGGGAACAAGAAGGCTGGAGAGATGAAACACACATCTGCCTGTGATGGTGGCAGGCAGAGTAATTACCCCCTCAGAGAAGTCCTAACCCCCAGGAACTGTGAGTATTTCATGTTGCATGGCAAGGGGCGTTAAGGCAGCAGATGGATTTGAGATTGCCAGTCAGCTGACCCAGGGAGATTATCCCAGATTATCTGGGTGGTCAATGCAATCACAAGGTCCTTATAAATGGAAGAGGGAGGTGGGACAGCCAGTGTCAGCAAGATGCAACGTGAGAAAGACTCCACTGCCATCGCTGGCTTTGAAGATGGAAGGGGCCATAAGCCAAAGAATGTGGGTGGTCTCTACAAGTTGGAAAAATCGAGGGAACAGAATTCTCTCCTAGAGCCTCCGGAAGGAACACAGCCCTGTCAACCCCTTGATTTTATCCCAGTGAGACCCATGTCAGACTTCTGATCTCTATATCTATAAAATACTAAAATTGTGTTGTTTTAAGCCTCCAAGTTTGTGATGGTTGGTTACAGCAGCCACAGGAAACTCGAGCAGAGAACTTTCCTTCTAGCACACGTGAGGCTTAATCCCACTTCTGCTTCTCGGGGACTGAGAGGCAGGTCAGAAGGAGCTCAGAGCCTGAGATCCTGCAGCCTAGTTGGAGAATTTTATCTGTCATGGTTCCATGGGGGAATCTCCTTAAGTACTCGGAGGTATAGACAAGGAGAAGGGGGCCCACTGCAGAGGTTGCTGTTTCTCCCCTAAGCCAGGGCCACACCGTGGTTCCCAGCAGAGAACCCTGCAGGAGCAGTCTTGGGTAGCACTGGGACAAAGGCCAGCAGGGGCCCAGCTCTGCTCACCTGGTGAGGGTAAGAGCCATGGGTTTGCTGCTGTGGGTGTCCTGGGTGGTTGAAGGCCAGGAAGCCAAACTTGTTGTTGTGGGTGTTCTCATAGCTACACCTGTGCCTGTTGTCACAACTCCAGCTGTGACATACTCAGTTTAGTCCCAGAGGCCTGCTTGGCACAGCTGAACACATGGGAACCATGTTCTGACTCCTTGAAGTTCTAAATCAAGGCCAGCCAGCTCTTCTCTGAGTCTCAGCCTTGACCGAGCAGGCTCTTTGCCACTTGCTCTGTAGTGATGCACCCCCGGTGCTGGCCACCCCTCCCTGGCCCTACCTGACTATGTGGGATTCCCCTCGCCTGCCCCTGGGCCGAGTGCCATCTGCCTTTGTTTCCCCCAAGTCCTTCCTGCCTCCAGACAGCTTCCCTATTTCACCTGCCCCGTGAAGTCTTGTCCTGCTGGGAGGGTCACAGCCTCCAATTCTCCCAGAGGCAGCTCCTGCTCCTCTTTTGCTCATCCATGGCCCCACCTTGGTTGTCTTTTTCATTCATTTTCTGGAACATTCTAAAACCAGCAGACTTTCCCACTGCACACACACGCAGGCACAACGTATCTGCATATACTAAGTTGAAAAGGATTGCTTTATACATGGGCCTGTGAACAAAGGTGTGTTATTGAGCTGGTGTTTGTATGTGTGGGGGTGGGTGGGCGAGTTTCTCTGATGCCCACAGTGGAGACAAGACTGAGGGCTCTGGGGGCTGCACTGTGGGGTGGGGGCTCCAGCCAGACTCTCTCTCCAGCCCCTCTAGTGCCTCTGGAGCTGCTGAGCCCAGAGTCCTCTCGAGAGCTTGGGGAGGCCAGTGGTGGTCCGTGGGAGGCTTCACACTGTGGTGGATCCTGCCTTTCCTTCTCCCTACATCAGAGTCCCTTAGTTCCACTCCTCCATCCTTATGTCATCAGGGGAGGAAGATAAAGAGGGGGAAGGGTACCAGGGAGAGGGTCACCTGCATGTCCTGTAGCTGAGCCCATCAGAATTGTGGCTATCCAGCATCCCCCCTCCTTGCACACCTAACAAGTCACCCATCAGGCTGGGGCTGCTTTGAGGGCAGTTGGATGCCCCAAGTGACCTGGAAGGAGGACCGGTCCTCTGTCTCAGCCAGAGCTGAGCCTGTCCAAGCCCCAGGCCCACTGATAACAATAGATGGAGGCTGCAGAGCTGCCAAAGCTCGCTCTTCCTTCCAGACTTTCCAGATTCCTGGTGCACACCCCCCCACGCACACATGTGCCAGGCACACACACATAGGCACAATGCGTAAACATGCATGCAAACCTATGCACAGGCACACATATATGCGTGCATACACAGGCACACCCAAGCACACACCACCATATGTACGCATGAGGTCTCAGGCAAATTTCAAGAGTCTTCATCCCTCAGGGAAGAGAGAGGAACAGTCCTGAATGCCCTAGGGGTCAGGGCAGGGCTCAGAGTACAAGAGAGAGCAGTCCTTACCTGGGTAAATGATCACTGCAACTTGGACCCCAAGGTCAGTGCCAACTCTCTCAATCCCACACCAGTAGATGTCAGCTTCGAATCTCCAGAGATTCTTCATGGTCACAGTGAACGTGCAGTTTTCGTGATTGTCCTTGATGGACACGTCATCCTTCTTCACCTCTTGCTCTGATCCTGTGGTTTTGACGAGGATTTCGCAGGATTTCCAGCCTTCCCCGCGGCACCACCACTTATTGTAGGTCTCATACCCTGGGTCATAGTGACACTGCACGGTCAGGGAGCCCCACTCTGGACCACCCACAGTTCTCGGACCATAGATGGAGAAACAGCCTGGAAAACAGAAATCCAACATACAGCTCCTCCTTCCCTGGGTGCCTCTCGAGACATCTGGCATCTACCTGGGGACTGACAGACCAGGGCCCCAAGTCTCTCAAATCCTCATATCCATTTATTCCTTCATCCCTTCCCCCCGTCATCTCTGTCACCTCTGTTACAAAGTTCTCCTTTGGGCTCCTAACTGGCCAATACAGTGGCCTCTGCTCACTCCTCATCCAACTGTGTGCTGACCACCCGGTCATCTTCCTGACACTAAGTAACTCTGTCTATCTATCTGTCTGTCTGTCTGTCTGCCAGGCTTGAGGATCAGCATCCTAGAAAACAGATGCCATTTGTGTTATTATTATTATTCTTATTTTTTTGTATAAAACACTTAATTTATTGGTCTTTTGGGGGAATTTGATGCATCACAACTGTATTACGACCGGGCCATTAATTTTGTAGCTTCGTCAGCATTAACTGGTTGGTTTTCGTGCTGCCGCTGAGGAATCAGCTTTTTCTGTAGAGGTTCAAGAGACAGGCTTTTTGAGAAGGGTGCAAGTTCCTTTTGTATCTTTACAAAAGCTTTACTCACTCTGTTAACTTTTTCATTATTCACAATGTTTATTTTCTTAAGATTAGTGGTCACTGGCTTTGCTTTGTTTTTAGTCTTGAAGGGTTTGGGGCTGGCTGTGTGAACACGTTCCTGGACTTCTGCCTTCTGAATTTGTTCTCAGCCATTGTCTTCAATACTCGTGTGCAGCAACTGAAGCTCCAGGTGACCTGTGTTATTTATTTTTATTTCTTTCTCCAATACCTGATTTAGTACCTGTCAGATAACAAAGACATTTCCTTCCTTCCTTCCTTCCTCCCGGTCTCTGTCTCTCTCTCTTTCCTTCTGAAAAGTAAGTGCATGGATGTATGACTGATTCTTGCCACTCTCCCTGACTCCTCTCCTCCCCCCAGGACAGACCCACCCTGTCTCCTGTCCAGCCCTCCCTGCGGGTTCCAGCTCCCGGCACCCCAGGCCCACTCACCTGGGAGGATGAGAAGGAGCAGAGCTGCAGGAAGCCACATGGTCCTACCTGCCTGAGTCTCTCTCTGGTGATCAGCAGGTCCCAGCTGCCCCTCCACGAACTAGGAACTGAGCCCAGAGGCAAACTCCTTCCTATTTGCCTAACTCATTATTTTTTAGTTCTCCCATCTATTTCCTTTTCCTTTGTTACTTCTTAATTTCATAAATTAGGAGAAAAGCCATGTCACCCTTTGCGAGCACGTGGCTGGTGGGACGATGTGTCCTCAATGACTGGGGGAAGCAAAGGGTCCAGGCCTGGCCAGGGGCCCACTTGTGGGTGTGTGTGAGGAACCGAGAGGCACCTGCAAGCTGCAGCGGAAGGAGGTGCAGTGAGGCCAGAGAGAAGAGCTCCAGTGCGTGGTAAAGAGAGGGACAGACACGCGCTGGCTTTGCACTGTTGGAGAACAGCCTGCATCCCAGACTCCTTCCAGGAGGCCCCAGGCGGTGCATCTCCAACCCCCACAGCCTGCCCTGGGATGTTGTCTCTGCATGAGCCTGACCCGTGCCCCTCCCCTTGGGACGGCCTCCCCTGGGTCCTGAGTCATCTGCAGCAGAGGCCGAGGTGGTGAGGGGTGTAAAGGAGACTCTGCCATTTCTCCTCAGCCTTGTTTTGCCCCAGATCCTTCCTCCTGTCTCCTCGCATGTTTCCCCTGGCTGTTGGCTGCGGGCCATTTCACTGCACCAAAACTGCTTACTCCAGTGACCTCCAAAGGGACATTTCCAGTCTCTCCTCTCTTCCTCAGATGGTCCCTTCCGTCCTCTGTCACAAGCTCCCTCTCCGTCTCCTGTCTCTTCTTTCCTGAACCTCCTCCTCTCCCTCACCCTTCCCTCCCAGCACCTCCTGGAATCTGTCCTCATGCTCTTCTGTCTGGTCCCTTGCCTCCAGGGAGTGTCCCTGCTGCAGACTCTAAGATCCCCTCCATGCACAGGACTGTCGCATGCACATCTCATCACCCCAACTTCCCTGCTCAGTGCACAGCTCTCATTTCCAACACTTATTGGCTGCACACTGTTAGCAGCTCAGATGTGCTTAAAGTGAAATTCTTTGTTATCTTTACTCCTAAAATGGATCTGTCACCCCACCTCGTCCATGTCCCAGGGCCTTCCCCATGCTCGGCCCGACTGGAAAGCCATCAAGTCTTCTCCTTCTACCTGCCACCCTCAGAGGCCCTTGCAGGGGCGGAGGCAGAACAGCAAAGACCTTTGCCATCCGGGGCAGGGGAGGGCATCGGGGGTCAGTTCCCAAGAGGGAGTGGTGGAGAAGACTCCTGAGCCTCTCTCCCTGGTGCTTATGTTTATGTTTGGGGGCTGAAGATCAGGGAGTCCCAGTGCACCCAGGTGTTTCTGCCTACAGCTAAGAACTTGTGGGAGGGGGAGGACTGCCGGGAGCACTGGCCACCCCTCCCTCCCTCCCTCCTTTTCTCCCCTCATTTATTAATAATTTTATTGAGGTAAAATTGGGATAAAATAAACTGCATATATGCAAAGGGCATAATTTGAAACATTTTTCTTATTTTTATTTTTATTTTCAAATTTTACACACAGTAAAATTCCTTATGTTGTGGCGTACAGTTCTGTGAGTTTTAACACATGCATCATTTCGTGCAACCACCACCAAAATCATATATAACAAGTCCATCATCTCCTCCCAAAAAGGTCTTTAACTATGAATTCAGTTGCTTTAATAGCAGGCAGTCAAGCTGGGTAGGTTCTGGTTTCTGTGATCCTGGTTCCAAGGACAATTCGGCTTTCAAAGTCTTTGAGATTTTCTTCAGACTTGTGGGCCACCCAGTGGCCAACCTGCAACCTGGATGGGGTCTTCCCCAAAGTTCTTAAAGGCTTGGGCATCTCCTTCAGGGTTTGACCTGTGTATGCACAACTTGGGAGTGAGCCTGGGAGTTCTAGGGTCTCTTTCTTGAGCTGCTTCCCTTCCTTGATCTCCCTTACATCCCCCTCCCCAGCTCCCAATCACCCCCCCACCCCCCACTTCCTGGTCCTTTGGTTAGGAAGCTGGGGTTTTTCTCTCCCTAATTTGCTGTGTAATTCCAATGATGGGTCTGCTTCCAGGGCCAAGCAGAGGGAGAATAAAGAAAGATAAAATGCAATGACTTCTCCCATGTCTTTGGACCACAGCTCCTCCCGTCAGAGTTCTGGGTGCCTGCCCAAAGCTGCTGCAGACACTGCCCAGCTGTGGTGGAATTGCAGCTTCTGTGCTGAGGCTTGCTGGGGACTGGGTGGAAGGGAAAGCAAGCAAATACACAAGAGGAAAACCCCTGAGGAAACCCTTTTCCCTGTAGGGCTCCATTTTCCTGTTCATCAGATAAGAGAGGACATTTCTTGGAGCTCTTTCTGTCCCTTCCGGGTGTGGGCTGCAGGTCTTGAGTCTAAGTGAGGGAGATAGAGAAGGAAGGAAAAAAAAAAAAAAAAAAAAAAAAAAAAAAAAAAAAAAAAAAAAAAGAAACCCAGGAAACTCATGGCTGGACTGGTCATACTAGGAGTTCTGGTTTCCTTCCCCAGTTTTCCTGCTACCAGTCATTTGGCAGAGTCCTTAGGTAGTTGCTACATGCGTTCTGTCTGGGTACTTAGTTGTATCCAGTGGGGAGAGATTATGTGGCGTGTGTTTACTTCATCTTACCTGGAAGTGAAAGCCTATAGCATTGATTTGCAAGAGCAAAAAAACTAGAACAGGCTCAAAGGCCATCACTATGGGAATAGTTAAATGTGGTATACAATGGGACATTAGGCAGCTATTTCAAGAATAAAGTAAGTATGTATGTAATGGCGTGGAAAGATTACATGGTAAAGTTTTTAAACTTTTATTTTATTTATTTATTTATTTATTTATTTTGTCTTTTGTCTTTTTCCGTGTCCGGCAACGGATCGCAACCCTCAGTGTTGCCCCTGCACCGGACCAGGGACCGGCAATGGGATCGCAACCCTCGGTGCTGCTCCCGCGCCTCGCTCAGACAGTGAGCGGGAACCGGTCTGCATGCGGGATCCGAACCCTCAGGCGGGAGCGCCGCCGCGCCTCCGCGCCTCCCAAGCGGCGCACCTATCCAGTGCGCCACCGGGCCGGCCAAGTTTTTAAACTTTTAACTGGAGTATAAAATACATGCAGAATTGTGCTCATGTCAAAAGCGCACCGTTCTATGAATTTGCACAAATGAAACACACCTGCACAGCCAGCACTCAAATCAAGAAACAAACATTACCATCCCCCCACCAAAGACCCTCTTGTCTCTTACAGTCATTACCCACAAAGGTAACCACTCACCTGATTTTTTACAACATAAATTAATTTTGTCGGTTCCTGACTTTGTTTAAGTGAATCACACATTATACGCTTTTTTGCATCCGGCTTCATTTGGTGAAACTGTGTTTGTGAGATTCATCCACCCTGTTACAGTGTAGCTGTATTTGTAGCTTGTTTATTCTCATCATGAGATAGCATTCCATTGGGTGAATATACCAAATTTACCCATTTTAGTGTTAGCACCACGCTCAGCCAGTGAGCCAACCGGCCATCCCTATATAGGATCTGAACCCGCGGCCTTGGTGTTATCAGCACCGCACTCTCCCGAGTGAGCCACGGGCCGGCCCGACCCATTTTAGTGTTTATGGGCATTTGTCTAGTTCCAAGTTTTTGGCTACTATGAGTAGTGCTGGTATGAACACATTACTTCATGCCTTGTTGAACATCTGTGCGCCCTTCTCTGCAGCATCTGAAGGGACCCTCATTCCCTGTATCAGGAGGAACAACTGTGCTGTAGATCAGGCCAAGATCTAATTTCAAGAGAAGTCAAGTTTCAGTAAAAGTTAAATTTTTAGCCGCAGCAAGTATTTCAGGACAAAGTCAGGGCCCTGATGGGGACGAGTGGGACCCTGAGACTTGGGATGAAACATCTGCCAATGCATTTGAGCACTTGAGCCTCTCATTCCCCTGAAGCCTCTGGATCTGCAAACGTGGCTGGGTGCACTTGTCAGAAGATAATGGCTCTCCCTGTTGAAGGTGATTCCAAAGTCACAAATGAAGCAGATACCGCATGGGACGTTGCTCACCTCCTAAGAATCGACTTCAGGAATCTCCCTCATTTCCCCTCCTGATCACTAGGCCAATGTCTGAGGGTAAGTGTCAGCAAGGCCGACCTGAGGACATGCTGGGTGTGAAGGGAAGAGGAAAACTAATGCACACTGGTGGGAAACAGAAGGGTCGTGGGAGTGGATCCCAGGGACTAGATCAGGATGGTGGGATGTGATGCTGGATTAGGAAGAGTTTGTCAACTCAGGGGCACTTAACACTTGCAACGCCAAGAGACTGGGACTAGTGCACTGCTGGGGTGGCTCTTGGAAGCTTGGAAGCAGTGAAGCCCGCATGAAATGAAGAATGGCCATGCAGAGTGTGGAATAGGGGATGAAAAGGCTTAAGGAAGCACAGAGTATGTTTAGGGTGGTGGAACCTTTCTGTATGACACTGCAATGGTGGATACAGGCCATGACACATTTGTTCAGACCCAAAGAAAGTACAACACCGAGGTGAACCCTCATGTAAAACATGGACTCTGGGTGATAGACATGTCAGTGCAGATTCATCAATTGTAACCAGCGTATCGCTCTGGGGGGGTGGGATGTTGATAATGGGGGAGTCTGTGCACATGTAGGGGCAGGGGATATGTGGAAATTGCTGTTCTTTCTGCTTAATTTTGCTGTGAATCTAAAACTGCTCTAAAACATAAAGTCTATTTTTTAAAAGTTTCAAAAAATTTAGCATGCTCAGATGGAACTATTATATCTGACCTGAAAACCCACCAAATAAGGATTATCTTTAGGACTTCCCAGAAGTCCCTTTACCAGGGAAATAAAAAATATGCTGGCAAGGAGACATGAGCATTGCTGAGAGGCTCAGTAGTGGCTGTCCTCTCTAGGCTGGGCTCGTAGGAGGAGATGCCATTATGTGACTGAGCGCCATAGGATCAAAGGGCGGAGAGAATTCTAGAACGGCAGAGGGCGGGTGGAAGCACTTAACTGTCCAAGCAAGGTGAGGATAATTAGTGGACCAGGCAGCAAGTTCTGAAAGGAAAAAGAGGCAAGATCACGATCCTACAGATAAAAGAGGTGGCCCAGTGGTTATTTCCCTGGTTTCTGGAAACACAATAGAAATGGATACACTTAGCAATTGGTTCTCATGTGAACTTTTTGGCCTGTGAGTTAAAAGTGATCATCTTGGGAAACGCCAAGGGGAGGCCTCTGAAATCGCCCCTCTGCAGTGGTTAAGATAGTAAATCACAATATCACATTTGGTGAGAAATAGTAGAGATTAGTGCCACCCTCCAAGATTTAAAGGGCACAAAGTAGTGGTCGCATTATACATGTGCCTTTAATTCACCAACGACAATGGGCTGGTGGAAACTTAAGGAGTGGCTAAATTGCAGCTTCTGTGCCGGTGGTGTAGATGAACACAATCTGGTGTGTCGTGTATGACCAATGATCTGACGAATGTGTCTTCTCTAATACCCATCGGGAAGGGGGAACAGAGGCAGTTTGCAGTCACTCGGCATGGACAACAGTATACTTTCACAGTCTTCCCAAGACTATGTTAATTTTCTTCTTTGCACCATATAGTCCTAAGGAATCTGAATCATCCAGCCATTGCCCAGAACATAAAGTTAATCCTCTGTCTCATCATATCATGCTTACTGGACCTGATAAAAACAAGGGGCTGGCCAGTGGATGTGCGGCAGAGACTGTGAGATAAGCCCCGCACAGATGCAGGGGGCTGCCGTGTCAGAAGTTTTAGGGGTTCGGTGGTCTGGAGCTTATTGGATGTATCCTCAAGGTAAAGGACAAGTAAAATATATTGCATTTTGCTGCTTCTGCATCTTACTGAGCCACCTGCTAAAACTCAGGGGAGGCCTTGAAGTCACAGTCAACAGGTGTGATGGAGAGTGACGGTGGAAGTGGGACTGGAGACCGGTGACGCGATTGGAGCTCTGTGCATGGAGCAGTTCCTCAGACATGCATCCCTCATATGCCTCCAATGTCTGCAGGCAGGCACTGACCCCTAGGTGAAATAGCAGAGGGTTCTTTAACTTAATAGAATGTCTGAGAGACTTCCGGTCAATGTGGTGGAATAGACGGTCCCCAGCATCACTCTCTCCCACAAATCAACCAATTTACACCTATAAAAAAGCAACAACAGCCAAGCTGGGGCTGCTAGAGCTCAAGGGAAGAGGAGGAGAGCTCTATGGAGTGCATGAAGGTGGGAGAAGCCACGATGAGAGGAAGAAAAAACCGTCTGACCATTTCGAGCCCTGGCTGCTTCCAGGATGAAGCTGCTGAGTGCTCGGAGCAGGAGCCGGCGGAAGCCACAGCTGTGCCCTCCGGATGAAGTTGCTTGGAGGCAGCACAGGAGAAGAGGGACTTGGCAAGCCGGGGCAGTGGGGGGCCTTGGCCATGCCCCCCAGACACACACAGCCAACTCAGCAATGACCACCGAGCCGCAGCAGGAGGGGACCCGGGTTCCCGAGCTGGGGTGGTGGGAGATGAGGGCTTTCGCTACACCCCCCTGACATCTGCACCCAGCCTGGCATTGACCAGGCCACTGCTGAAAGCCCCCTGGTCTCCCCTGTGGGAATGAGGGGGGTGCCACAGGCCTCGATCCCGCCCCTCCTCCTTTCACCTTCTTCCATCCCATTTCCTTCCCCTTTCCCCTTTCTCCCTCCCTCCCAACTGCTCTGCAACAATATCCTAGAATGTAAAAAATCATATTAATAAAATAAAATTTAAAAAATAATAGAATGTCTGAGAAACCAATGGCACTTAGAGAGGATGCTGCAGCCTAGCTCCAGTCCTCTTCCAATCCTCTGGAGCTTAGCAGGCCCCTCTCTGCCCATGCACCTTAAAACAAAGCTTACAAGGTAAGAAGGGATCAAAGGCTCGGAGAATTTGGCATGATAAAATGCAACTATTTTACGTTCTCTTTTACCCCTTTATACTCTGAGGTCTCAGTTAGCAATGTCCTGGCTTATTCTCAGCTGTGACCTGATAACCAAGAATTATCAGACATTTGAGGCAGGCCCGTAATATAGAAGAGAAGAACCAAATGAAACAGAACAACAAAAGAAAAACATGACCCCAGAGCGAGGGGAACAGAACAGAAGAGAGTTCAGGGAACAGAAGAGAATTTGAAAAACATCAGCAGTCAGAGAACAAAAAAGAGCTTTTCAAAATAAAAATATAATTTCTAAACTAAACATTTGATCCAGAGGTTGGAAGACCCAGGGGTACAAAATAAAACAAAAACCTCCCCACATGCAGAACAAACCCTGCACAGCTGGTAAAAAAAAAAAAAAAAAAAAAAAAAAAAGAGACACAAAGAATCAACTCAGGGAGGAGACAGGAAGGGAGCAGGTGACAGAGGAGGAGGGAGGGGACCTCTGAGGGAAGTGGGAGAGATCCCTGGCAGGTCCCTTTGGAGGTCACTGGAGTAAGGAATTTTGGTGCAGTGAAGTGGCCCACAGCCAACAGCCAGGGGAAACGCGCCAGGTGACGGGAGGAAGGATCTGGGGTAAAATGAGGCTGAAGAGAAAAGTCAGCTTCTCTGTCCTTACACCCCTCACCACTGCGGCCTCTGCTGCTGATGCTTCAGGACCCAGAGGAGGCCATCCCAAGGGGAGGGGAGGAGGTCAGGCTCAGGGAAGGATTACAGCCCAGGGCAGGAAGGGGGGTTTGAGACACGCTGCCTGGGGCTGACTGGCAGGAGTCTGGGGCACAGGCTGGAGCACAAAGCCATCAGGTCTCCGTCACTGTCCCAGAGCTCTTCTCTCCACACTCCCCATTGCCAGCTTTGTCCTCTCCTCCTGGCAGCAGATCCCTGGACTCTTCAGCTCTGAGTTTCCCATTGCTCTTTCTCCTCAGCTCATATGCACTTGCCCGCAAACCTGACCAGGCCTGGATCCTTTTCCGTTCCCGCACGCACAAAAGTTTCAACACAGCTTGCATCACACACTCTCAGTCTTCTCAAAGGACACCACTTTTCTCCTAATATGTAAAAACAGAAGTAGCTGCAGACACAGCAGGAAGTGAGTGAGAGAGAAACTCAAAATGGATTCAAGCAGGTTCAGGGCATTCACTTCTGAGCTTGGCTTCAAGTCCTTGAAGGGCATTGGGCACTTGTTATCACTCAGGAGAGGAGACAGGACCATGTGGCTGACCCCTGCTCTGTTCCTTCTCATCCTCTTAGGTGAGTGGGGCTGGGGCTTTAAGGCACTGGAATGACAGGGGCTGGACAGGAGACAGAGTGGGTCTGTCCTGGGGAAGCAGACCAGTCAGGGAAAATGGCAGGGCCAATTCGTTCATCCAGACATGTATTTATTAAATAAATATCAAGCTTTTGCTACCTGACAGGTTCTATGTTAGGAACTGCAGAAACAAAAACACAGAATAAAAGTAAAACCCTTCTTTTTAGAACGTTTCCCAGCCCTTGCTGCTCTGATAAACAGATGAATGAAAGAGTGATGGATGAACTAACGAATGAATCCATTCTTGAGGAAATTTTTTTTTGTTTTTTTTTTTTCCTTTTTGTCTTTTTTACTGACTGGTAATGGGATCACAACCCTCGGTGTCGCGCCCACACCGCGCTCAGCCAGTGAGCGGGAACCGGTCTCCACATGGGATCCGAACCCTCGGCGGGAGTGCCACCGCACTCCCAAGCGGCGCACTCTCCAGTGCCACCGGGCTGGCCCATTCTTGAGGAAATTTTTTTTTGTTTTTTTTTTTTCCTTTTTGTCTTTTTTACTGACTGGTAATGGGATCACAACCCTCGGTGTCGCGCCCACACCGCGCTCAGCCAGTGAGCGGGAACCGGTCTCCACATGGGATCCGAACCCTCGGCGGGAGTGCCACCGCACTCCCAAGCGGCGCACTCTCCAGTGCCACCGGGCTGGCCCATTCTTGAGGAAATTTTAAGGAGCACAGATACTCAGGTGCCACTCGATCATGGCCGGGGTCAGGTATCTGGATGGTTTAAAAGTCTCCACAGCTGGTCTTGCTGTGTAGCCACAGCCGAGAACCTTCCTCTAAGTAGCTCAGAGTACAGGGAGGAAGACAGGCAGCGAGGCAGGGATGTAACAGCTCTCTGCAATGTTGCTCACCCCCTCACGTCGACCTGCTGGCATTTCTGCACCCGACAAGTCAAAGACCAGACCATCGTCCAGGGCAGTAAGTACAACAATCGAGGTAGATACAAAGTGGTGTCACTGGGGAGTTGCTGAGCTGACCAGAGATTAGAAGGTCTCTGTTTCTGGGCTCCACGTAAAGTCCCTGGGGAGCAGCTGGCACTTGAAGCTCAGAGAAGACAGGAGCTAGGGAAGTGACAGCACATGGCTGCTCCCACCTCCGCTCTTCTCATCCTTCCAGGTGAGAGCTGCTGGCACTGAGGAAGTGGAAGCACAGGGCTTGGGGCAGAGGGCAGAGTCTGTCCTCTGGGAAGTAAAATGACCACAGGTATTCACTCATGGACTTATCAAATCTGTAGGTGAAAATCCTCCAGTAGGGAGATTTGCATGCGGAAAGTTTACTGGGGAGACATGCATGTCATTATTGCCTTCGTTTGGAAGTTAATAAGGGTAAAAAGAGTACATACGTGTGTTAGTTAGCTCAGGCTGCCAAAGCAAAGTACCGTAGACCGGGGGCTTAGACAACGGACAATTCTTTCTCACAGTTCTGAAGGTTGGAAATTCTAAGATCAAGGTGCCAGCAGATTCAGTATCTGGTGAGGACTTTCTGGCTTGTAGGCTGCCACCTCCTCACGTGTCCTCACATAAACTCTTCTTTGTGTGTACTCGGGTGGAGAGGGACAGAGAGGTACAGAGAGAAAGCAAGAGTGCTCTCTGGTGACTCCTATTATAAGAGCTCTAATCCCATTATGGGGGCCCCACCCTTGTGGCTTCATCTAACCATAATCACCTCTCAGAGGCCCCATCTCCAAATGCCATCACATTAGGGGTTAAGGCTTCCACATATGAATTCTGGGGTGGCACAAATTCAGTCCATACAAATACGGATGCTGAGTTGATAAGGGGTGAAAAGTGCTAGTTCCCCTCTTGTCAATTTGACAACACTACCACCTCCTCAAAGGCTGCTCTGGCATCACAGAGGGAAATCCCGGAATCCCTTTCCCCAAATCACCTTCCCTCTGTGGGTTTGAATTTATCAATAGAAGCACTTGGCAGAGATTTAGAAAGTGGAAAAGAGGCCATTATTCTCTGGGGGCTGCTGAGGCACACATGGGCAGATGAGAGACAGGTGGCTTCTTGGCAACCCTCACTCTGCGGATGTAGACTGAGATTATTAATGGGAATTTCTTGGAGACCCTTCCAAACTGCAGCAGCTTCTTTGGACTCTGCAGAAAACCTGTATTGGAACTTGTAGCTGTGATCAGTGTTAACTTCGCCTTTGTTGCAGGGGAGCTGCTCTGTGCATTTTAGGGTGTTTAGTGGCATCCGTGGTCTCTACCCACTAGATGCCAATAGCATCTCCCTCCCCCATGTGATAATCAAAACTACCTCCAGATGTTGCCCAGTGTCCTCTGGCAAAATCATCCCTGGGTCAGAACTACTGCTTTAAGTCCACCCTTAAATTTACCTTAAAATGCTAGAACCATTCACTTGGAGGTGACATCAGCTTATCATGCAAAACCAGCTGAAATCAGGCCAAATATCTTTCTTCTTCTGTTAACTGTTGACAAGGAATATGGATTGAGGAGGAGACAAGGCAGCAGGTGTGGCACGGTCCATGCCATGGCGGAGTCCTGAAAAGAATGGCTTGACTTTTAAACCTCTCCAAGTTGGCAAGGCCGCCGGAGGGAGAGCTGCTGGCAGGGCCACGGCACGAGCACTTGCTTTCGCTGTAAGGATCTCTGCCTCAGCATAGTGGTACTGCTTTTACTTTCTCTTTTGATGTTTTGGTCAGTGTAGCAGTTTCCTGAGTTTCCAAAAGACGCAGAAAATGACACACAAACAGTTGTTGTCATAAAATTAGATAGTCCAACCAAAGATCCGGGAAGATTGAACAATTCCAAATTGTCCCTTTTGAGTCAATTAATTACGCCAGTGGATGTTTCAAAAACAATTGCCTTTACTGGAGAAATTAATAAATAAAAGAAATCCCCATCCTCTTGAACAGATATATGGGATACAAAATGGGGAAAGGAAAAATTTAGTATCCCCCTAGGGGACGTCCAAAATATGATATAAGTTGGCAAACATCATTTATTGGAGATTGTATTAATGGCAAGAGAATGGTTGGCATTAATGAGAAATTATATGATCGGGACAAATTAAGTATATGGGAACGAAACCATAGAACCCCCTTTACTTGGTGGTGTCCAGTTTTAATAAATCATTAAAAATCAGGTATTGGGATAAAAATATCTGCTGTAAAATTATTAAACCTGCAAAATTAGATCTTAGAAGAATCAGAGAGTGCACCTAGTTTTGTGAGGGATGGTGCTGTGCACAAGGACACTTTAACATTTAGATCAAGATTACAGGGCCACAGCCAATGCATAACCTACAAATGTGCATGATAATGCTGCTCAAATATCCATTGTTCCTTTTCATTCCATTAGAACATAAAATCATTAGACCCCCCCATTAGAATTTAAATGTTAGCATTGTTCCTTTTAGCAAAGTTGTATTTACACTTAACAATAGTCATAGGTCATATCATAGTATTGTCTATCACTTTGTAACTGCAATAGCCACCACCCTGTTAATAGGGTAGATATTAACCACAGCTTGCCAACAGGAAAAGGTCACAGGTTAACTTCAGGACAATGAGAAGATGGTTCTGATCTGATAACCTGATACCAAAAAGAGGAAGCACAAGCTAATCACGTGACACATGCTGACGAAGGGAAAAAACTGGCTGACCACCAAAAAAGTTTCCCCCGTGCTTTTTGAATTATTGACTCAAGCTTGCTGATGTAATAAAAATAGTACCCAAGGCCCCCCTACAGATTTGTAAATTTAAATAAAAGGCATTGTCTCATGCTCTACGGGGCTCCAGCCCCAAAGCGCTGACAGCCCGCAGAGAGAGAACGTGCATAGTGATGCATTGAGGTCTCCATCTGTGTTTGTTATTTTCGCTGACCCTCTCCATCCCTTTTTGGGTACCCACCCCTTGCTGAAGCTGGACTTCGGCACAGGTGTAACTACCACAAGAGTCTGACCACTTGTGGGTACAACTTACTTGTCCCTCCAGGACCTGCTGATTCCCTCTAATATAGACCATTTCCACTTGACTTTCCGTCTCCAAGAATCTCAGTTCAGGCGATACACTGGCAAACAACACAATCTATAAAATTGCATAAATGCTGTAGTAAAAGAATGTACATCTTGCCAAGTGAGTCCTGCTCCCTGTGCCACTGAAGGGTGTGCACAGGAGTCCAGGACAGAGAGAAAGCAAGAGTGCTCTCTGGTGTCTCTTATTATAAGAGATCTAATCCCATCATGAGGATTACCCTCATGACTCATCTAACCCTGATGTGGGGACAGAGAGGGATGCTAGGCCGAAGGTGCTATATGAGCAGAGGCTAAGGGCCTGACTACAATCTTGCAGAATATACAGGCAGCCTGAGGGAGCTAGACTACTGAGTGCATGGTGAGACTTTGCAAGAGAAGGTAGCAGCAAATATAAGCTCAAGTAGGGTGCCGATTTTGAATTCCATGCCAAGGAGCTTGCACTTAACCCTGAAGGAAGCAGGTCAAGGTTCGTAAGCATGTAGTGTGTGTCTGTGTAAGAGTGCTAGCCTTTGAGAAGGAGGAAGCCCAGATGTCTCTGCGACTAGATTTTTAATTCAGCAAAGCAAGAGTGCACAACCAGAGGTGGGGTGTATTGCCTTGGGTGAATGGAGATAATTTTCAGTGAGGGGTAGTCCGTGGGGTGAGGAGTGAGCAGAGGCCACTGTGTTCGGTGGTTGCGAGGCGAGGGTAGAACTGTGAAAAGTGGTGTAGGCAAAAGCTGAATGTAGGGGACCAAGGAGTGTCAGGAGCCAGGCTGAGCTGAGTGCTGAGCTGCCCTGTGTCTAGTTGCCCATTAAGACAATGATCACTGTCTGTGACAGTGTAAGAGGCTGGACAGGAGAAAGTGCTGGCTACCCTCCCCATTTCCTGTTCCTTTCCCCCATGGGATGGCCCTGGGTGGGGTCAGATGGATCACCACAGACATTGGGGACATCTCAGCCCAGGAAGTGCTGCTCAAATGGCTTCTGCAGTTTTGTGGACCTGGCAGTGGGGAGAGAGTGGGGATAAGGGCTAAGGAGGAAGAGTTCTGAGTCCTGAGTCAGAGTGGAGAAGTGTCTTTGTCTTCCCCTCCCCTGATAAGAAGGTCTCCCAAGAAGGCTTCAGCCAAAGGCTCCTGGTAGGGAGAACTGTGAAAGCAGCTGCCTGGGCCAGGAAGCACATGAGCATGAGAGCCTGGCCAGCAGGGGTGGCTGAGTCATTCTTGTGTTCCCCTCAGTGACTGTGATGTGCTGGCATTGACCAAGTCTGGAGAGGGAAGGGAAGCTCCTGGAGACCTGCTGGTAAAGCCTTCATAATCGCCCGTGGTCAGGCCTGAACAATCTGACACAGTTTTCTGGTCAAGAAACAAACTCCTCAGCTCCACCCCTTAATTTTTCAGGACCTCAGCAAGAAATATAGGCAATTGCATCATGGTCCTGAAAGGGTCAGACTTTAAGGGGCTCTGACAACAAACAGGGAATAAGTCTGAGGCCACAGTGGATCATGATCACAAGCAAAATTATTCTAAGTGGGATGATCAGGCCTGTGTGGAGCAGTGAATGTAGCCAGGAGCCCCAGCCACTGCCATGCTGGGAAAAGCTGTCCCTTAGCCCATCTGGGCCTCCTTTAGAGAGCCAGGAGGCCCTGTCCCTCTACGTCTCATGATGGTCTGTGCTACTGTATAGCACGAGCTGTTGGCAATCACACACACTCCTCCCTGGCTGTCCTCTGTGGTTATCCAACATGACTTCAGGCCAAGGAGTTGAGGCTGCTAAGTAGTGCCATTGATGACCTCAGCAAGGGCCAAGGGTGGGTTGTGCACCTCTTCTAATTGAATCACCTGACAGTGGGAAAAGTTGCCTGAGTGTATGCACAGAATACCTGGGTTTGGAATTAATGCCTTAGCTGGGATAGCACAATATACTCAGTGGGAGGGGGCTGTTTTGAATATTTGGAAGTATTAAAAAATGTCACATCAAGCAGTCAGGAACACAACCAGGGTCCTAGGCAGGAGTTGAGGGAAGCCTCCACTGCCTGGCAGCAGGCAGGAGCATGCCAAAAACACCACTTCTGCGTGGGTGGCCCACCACAGCCACACACAGCTGCAGCAAAAGTGGCTCACTGCCACAGTAGTAGCCACGGCCACCATGCAGGCAGCCCACCAGACACTCAGCTGCATTGACACAAGGAGAGTCACCAGCAGAGACCAGAAAAGGAAGAGGAGGTCTCTCTCCTCCAAGCCCACTCCAGAGTAATAGAAGAAGCAATTGCTCTACCAGATGACCAGACATTGATATATAGATACTAGAAGTACGAAAAAATAACAAAATATGACTTTATGAACAAAACCCCAAAAGCACAGGCAACAAAGGAAAAAATAAACACATGGGATTATGTCAAACTAAAAAGCTTCTGCACGGCAAAAGGAACAGCTAACAGAGCAAAAAGACAACCCACAGCATGGGAGAAAATATTTGCAAACTATGCATCTGACAAGGGATTGATACCCAGAATATACAAGGAACTCAAAGAGTATAACAGTAAAAAAGCAAGTAACCCAATTAAAAAATGAGCAAAGGAGCTGAATGGGCATTTCTAAAAGGAAGATGTACAAATGGCCAACAGACACATGAAAAAATGCTCAATGTCACTAAGCATCAGGGAAATGCAAATCAAAACCACACTGAGATGTCATCTCACACCAGTTAGATGGGCCGTTATCAAAAAGACAGAGAATAACAAATGCTGGCGAGGAAGTGGAGAAGGGAATCCTCCTACACTGTTGGTGGGACTGTAAATTAGTGCAGCCACTATGGAAAACAGTATGGGAGAGTTACTTAACTTCTCTGAGCCTTGGTCCCTCACCAATAAAATGGTAATGACACTAATTTCCAGCTCAAAGGTTGTCGGGAGGATTAAGCAAATTCAATAAAGCCTCTCCCAAGCTAGAAAGTGGTAGAGATGGGACTCACACCCAGGAGTCCTGGACTCCAGGGCCCATGTGATAACCCCTGAGCTAGGCTGCCACTGAAAGAACTTGGGGATTTTGTGCTGTTTGGGACGATCTCTGCCCCTCCCCAGATGGTGGTGGGATTTCTGGCATGGCAAGTGCTTCTGCGCCCCCCGCCCCTGGCCTTCCTTGGCTCTGGCCCAGTTTGAGGGAGAGGGAGGGAGGGGCACAACCCATCCCAACCCAGGACAGGAGTGGCCCAAGAAGAGGAGAGCCCAGGATGTGGGGAGTCCCTTTGAACCACCCCTTGCCTGTAGGCCAGACCCAGGGTGGGGTCCCTGGGTTCCCAGTGACATGTGGGGTTGTGTGCATGTTGAAGGTGCTGCACATCGATGGTGCTGCAGAGACACAGGCTTGCTTGGCTGGCTCATCAGCTTGGCCTGTCCAGGCATGTCAGGGGAGAGCCTCTACCCAAGCAGTGCTGGGAACCAGGCCTCTGAATGGGCAAAAGGGTGGGGGCAGCCGCCCTTGAATGAAGAGACTGGGGCAAGAGAACGGAGAGTTTTCAATGAGGGGTAGTCCGTGGGGTGAGGAGCGAGCAGAGGCCACTCTGTTCAGTGGTTGTTAGGAAGCACTTGGATTTGAGAGCGATTCCCAGTGCAGGAGGCTGTGGCCCTGTCCTTGGGGTGGGAGGTGACAGGTGCATGGATGTGTGTTTTCCAGTCATCTCTGATGCCAAGGATGCGATCACTAGTCCTGAAGCAGTGAGTGGCGTGGAGCGGGGTTCACTGACTGTGCAGTGTCACTATGACGGGCAATGGGAGACCCATAGGAAGTGGTGGTGTCGAGGAGCTATTTGGAAAAGCTGCAAGACCCTTGTTAAAACCACTGGATCAGAGCAGATGGTGAAGATGGACCGTGTGTCCATCAGGGATGATCAGAAAAGCCACACGTTCACCGTGACCATGGAGGATCTGAGGAGAGACGACGCTGACACTTACTGGTGTGTAATTGAGAGAACTGGAATTGACCTTGGAGTCGCAGTTAAAGTGACCATTGACCCAGGTAATTGTGTGTATGTGTGGATGTGTCCCTCAGGGCCTGCTCTGTCCTGGGTCCTGAGGTCACACTCAAGTGACTTAATTGTCACTCAGAGTGACCTGTCACAGAGGGTGGTGGAGTTCTGAGGTCTCATAGAACCCTGAAGGACCCCTTGGGATTGGAGGGGCAGGGCTTCTCCTAAACGCCCCCATGGCTCCCAAGGCCTCCTCTGTCATGGGATTAAACCTTTCCAGGCACAGTTTTTTCTCTGCACAGCTCAGTACCTGAGTCTATTATCCATAAAGGACAAGGCCATGGTCCCCAGTCTTAGTCCATGGACCAAAGGGACCCCCTCCCATGATACCCAGAGGCCCCAGTCCCTGCCAGTGCTTTCCTGGGATCGCTGGTGGCCAGGTGTGCCCCGCTCTTTGTGGAGTTCTGGGCTGGGACTTCCCAGGCACTGTTCCCACCCCCACTCCATACCCAACTTGGGGAGAAAAGACCCAGCACAGTCTGGGTGCTGTTGTCTAATTCCCAAGGTCTAGAAAGGCCTTCACAGTCAAACGGCAGCATTCCTGGTGCCTGAAATCCCACCCTGAGCCACTTGTGAATTTGGATTTAAGGATGTTCTCTTGCTAAGTCTTTCTGGAATGCAGATATCCTGGGAGGGCCAGCTCAGAGGCCCCAGTGCTTTGGTTTGCATGAGTTTATCTGCTGGGCGCTGCTTCTGCTGCCCCCAGACAGGCAGCACCGGCTCACAGGGCACTTGTGGCACAGGGGGAGCCCCACAGTCCTCAGGGCTCCAGCCATACCTGGAACCTCCGAGCTGTGTTCTCATGTGGGCTTGGGTGGCAGGGCTTGAAGAAAACAGCGTGTCCTACCAGAGTCACCAGCTCCCCCCTCCTTGGAACCATACAAGCCTGACAGTCACACTACAGTGGAGCCTCCAACTGAGTCTCAGGGGCCTTTAAGACCCAGTTTGGCACCCTCATTATGTTGAAGCCATGACCCCAGCACCCGAGAGTTTGACTGTATTTTGGAGATAGGATGGGGGACTCTGAGGACAGACCCAGAGGACTCAGGATCTGCCTGGTCTCTGCCTAGATGCCTCCTTCCAGGGACCAACTGAAGCTTCTAAGGCAGGTGAGGTTGAGTCTAGAGTCCCCAGTAGGGCTCAGAGGCAGTCAGAGGAGGAGAGGGCAAGGCCCCTGGAGAAGGGTGGACTGTGTTCCTCTCCTTCGCTAGTGCAACTTTTACAATAATGGGTTCAGAGTCCTTCACCCCTCACCCATAGCCAGACATGAGTGTAGAGAGTCAGGGAGCCAGGGAGGAGGATCTCCTGGAGTTTCTTACCTAAGCTCATGTTAGACAGGACTCTGAGATACTCTGGGCTTGGGCTTCTGGGATTCATGCCTCTCTCCATACCTGATAAAATAAGACATAAGAGTCAATGTTCCCTTTGAGGAGGCCTTACATAGTGATTAAATAGTTTTTCTTTATAAAAGAATTCATGTAATGGTTTGGAAGATAACCAGAAAGTCTTGGTTGCCAAAGGAAACAGTCCTTAATTCCTAAGGAGGGAACCTTTGAGCCACCCCCAGACCTGAACTGTTTAAGGCAGGAGTGAACTATGTTCTGCTCTGTATGTTCAGCCACAGGAAGCCCAGCTGTAGCAACAACAAGTTTGGCTTTTGTACCTTCAACCACTGCGAAGACCACCAGCAGCCAACCAGTGACTCACACCAGTCCCCTCACCAGGTAAGCGGAGCTGGGTCCCGCAGCTTTCCTGCAGCCTGGCCCCATGCCTTCCCCTCTAGGAGGGTTGCCAGATAAAACACAGGGTGCCCAGTTAAACTGGAATTTCAGACAAACAAGAAATAACATTTTGTTAGCATAGTATATCCCAAATAGTTCATGGGGTATACTTATACTAGCAAAGTATAGGTCATTTATCTGAACTTCAAATTTAATTGAGCATCCTGTATTTTTATTGGCTAAATCTAATAACCCTAGCTTCAGGCTGGGACCCCAGTATTGACTTCTGGTGTAACCTTGTATCAGTAGAGTCACTGCAAAGTCAGAGGTGGGCTTCTCCAGCCTCAGTTTATCTTTGAGTACAATACGATTTTCCATCTAAGCTTCAGCTACACGAAGGCAAAATCTTCAGCTGGGTGTCAGGAGAAGAGATTGGTCTCTCTCTTCCATGCCCCCACCTACCAGGAGGCAAGAGAGAGTATCAAGGTTTGGCCTCTAATGGGTTAGAAGGAAAGTCTCCTCTCCTGTCTGCTCCTGGTTGCTGCCAAAGAGCAAATCTCCCCAAGTACTGGAGGCGGGAGTGGAAAATGCTGAAAGGGAGCTCAGGAAGCTGGGAGCTGAGCTTCCTCACCCTCCCCACTTGGCAGAGGGGTATGGAGTGCCAGTCGGATGCTCTCCACCCTAGGAGGTGTACAGAGGAATTCCCACAAGGTCAGAACCTGCTAGCTTGCCTGGTTTACTGCCATCACGGCCTGCTGGGTTCAAGCCCACAGGTCAAGCCAGAGCCCAAAACACTGACCTCCTGCTCCTGCTGGAACCTGGGCCGGGGTCCATCTCTCCAGCTCCTTCCTCTGGGAATTTCCCTTTAGGGCTTGCTAGTTCCCTCTCTAGTACAACTCTGTTTCTTTCGTTTACCCAATCTTGAGTTATGCAAATGTGTCTGAAGAGCTCCAGCTTTTCGGGCTTGCTTTAGGATTCCTCTCTTCTCAGTGCTTTTGAAGTGCTTTTGTGCAAATTGGTGGGATTTTTAGCTGTTGAGACATCAGAGGGCAAGAGATTCCAGACATATGGAAGAGCCCCAGAGAGAGCAAACCTTGGGAAAGGGCCGTGTCTCAAGGATGTGCAAGGGTGTTTTGATCTCTCCTCTACCTTCCTGGAATACTTTCCATCTATGACTCATCCAGCATTCTGGAATTGACTATACTTTTGGTTTCTCAAATTCATCCATGAGCTGAGAGTGGCCTCAAGGTGGGCTGAGGAAAAAAACAAGGATGGCCCAAGGAGGGAGGCTGCAGACCCTGGGAAGTGGGTGAAGGATGGTGAGGGAGTAGGGGGCTGTGGGTCAATAAGGTTCAGGGCCTTACAGACCCATAGGGAACAATAAGGGGACTTAAGGAACTGCAGGGACAGGTGCTGAAGGGGAGTTACGGGAGGCCAGCCAAAAAGGCTGGATGGTAGTCAACAGGAAGGGGCCTTAAATGTCAGGCTAAGCTTATTAGGGGCACTTAAGGCCTAGCCTGGGAGCAGCATGACTGTGCCCTTCCAGGAGGGCTGTCCTGGCTGGGGCCCCGGGCTTGCCCTCACATAGTTATTGAAAGCCAGGGTCTGGGCACAGTGAGAACTGGGAAGACTGAGACCTCTGCCCCCAGGAGGCAGCTCATTTCCTGTCACTGTGTCCCCACAGGTCCCTCCTCAGCAGCGTCCACTTCCTGCTCCTGGTCTTCCTGGAGGTGCCCCTGCTCCTGGGCATGGTTGCTGCTGTCCTTTGGGTGAACAGGCCTTAGAGACGCTCTGGGGGGAGCCAGAGTCAGCCGGAAGCAGTAGTGCCTGTGCCCACTACAGGGCCTTTCTTCCTCCTGAGGCCTCCTGTTAGAAAATACCAGAAAGAGGTGCATTTCCCCTGGGCCCCGGCTCCGTGGTGGACACATGTAATCTCAAGCTTGTGAGCCACCTGCAACGTTAATGGACTTCCTTTTGCATTCCATGGGGTTCAGGGTTCCAGCCAGTTATGGGTTTCAAAATTCTAGACCCTGTAAAAATAGAAAAACTGAACCAAACTCTGGCAATGGGCCAACTGTGAATGAAGAGTCGGGTCCACAAGTGTGCAGAGGTCTTTGGGGTTCCAGCCTGGCTGCATTTTTGCCACTTGAGGGGAAGGGAAGTCTGGAGCCAGCTCCATTCCTCGCTTCCTGGATGGACGCTCCGAAGATGAGGTTGATGTCACATCCTCTAGATTGTCACCGTCACCCTTCCTGCTAATAGCTCCGTTTTCTTACCTCTTGAGAGTACTGCGGCTGGTTTGCCACTCTCGTTTTGTGAGATAATCTGTGCACTCTGGGGACTGTGGGATAGTCCGCAAATCAGACATGGAGCTAGAACAGATCTAGCAACCGTGAGCTAGGGGTGGCTGGAGAGAGGAGCAAGGCTGGGAGATGTCACCTTATCCTGTTAAAGAGCCCTAGACCGTGATTCCCCCTGTATGGATGTGAGCTTCTCCTGGTGGTTAATTGTTGAGGAAGCGTGTAGGACGCTGGCGAGCTACTTTATACAGAGACAAGGACAACTCTTTTCTTCTTACGTTCCTCCACCTGGACTGTTACTTCTGGGAAGTCCCAGAACCAAAAAGGAGGCCACTCGAATGAAGGGGCAGCCAGTCAGGGACAGGAGAGGCAGAGTCAGCCCTATTCAGGAAGGACAGTATAGGACACAGCGAGGGGAGGCCTCCTCAGCTGGGATACAAAAGGTTGTAATTTTCCTTCCTTGAAGTATTAGTCAGTTTTCCAGAGAAACAGAAACAATAGGATGAACATTTATATGGAGAGAGATGGAGATAAAGAGAAAGAGGCAGAAAGAGAGAGATCGAGATGGAGATATGAGAGAGAGAGAGAGAGAGATTGATTTTAAAAAATTGGCTCACATGGTTATGGAGGCCGGCAAGTCCAAAATCTGCAGGGCAGGCTGGAAACCCAGGGAGGAGCTGATGCTGCAGTTCAGGTCTGAAGACAGCCTGGAGGCAGAATTCCCTCTTTGTCGGGGGACCTTGGCCCGTTTTCTCCTAAGGCCTTTAGCTGGATGAGACCCGCTGCCACTGTGGAGGGTGGTCTGCTTTCCTCAAAGTCTACTGATTTAGACTCACAGCAACATCCAGACTGGTGTCTGATCAAACATCTGGGTACCATGGCCTCACCAAGTGACACATGATATTCACCACCACTGGATGACTGTCATGCATGGCTAAAAGATGAGGGCACAGTTGGTACTTCCCCCACAGAATTTCCTCCTCTAGAGCTTTTCCCCTGTCACTTCCAGGCTTGTTTTCCTTGCCTTTGGCTTCTCCAGATCATCATGGCCACCCACTTCCTGCTGTCCCCCAGCTTGGGGTGTCCCCCAGCTTTGTCCCCACACTCCAGTGATTGGGGCCATGCCCACTATGGCCAGAGCAGGGGCCTCTGTGCCACCTGCCCAGGTCCTGAGGGTGGCATTCTGCCTTGGTCTCTGATGACCAGGTCCCCTGCCCAGTAGGACCCTCTGGAGAGTTAGGATGGAGGCTGCTGTTCCTTCTGGGAACATGAGCCTGGATCACCCAGTTGCCCCCTCTCAGGCCAGTCCCTGCATCCAGGTTAGGTCTTCATTCACTCACCCCCTCATTCATTCAGAAACATTCATTAAGTGTCTCCTAAGTACCAGGCACTGTTCAAGTACTGTATAGGTAGCAAAAAAAGGACCTGATTAAGTGCCATGAAAGAAATCTACAGGTTCAAGGACAGAAGATCACTCAGCTAGAAATTGACAAAAATATACTTATTATTCAGACCCCCCCAGTCTCCTCCTTCTCAGGTTCTGCCGCCGACTCTGGGCTGACCCTCCGTGGAGGAGTCCACCTAGTGTGACACCCCCTCCCCACCTTGTGCAACATGCTCCCTACTCTGCTTGAGCTCTGAGTCCCCACATTAGCATCTTATTTTTAACAGCACATTTAAACTGTCTACTGATTCTATGCTGTGAAAGATGAGGATTTTACACCTTACTTTTTTCCCACCTTCCTCTCCCCAGTACTGATTTTGTTAGTATTTTTTATACTTACGATATTTATATTCTCTTCTGTAAACATTTCCCACAGTTATTTAGTCTTTTTATCCCCCTACTTTTAAATGTGTTCATTCTCACCACAACTCCTCTTTTTTCATTATTTGACTTGTCCCTTTGTTGGCAAAATTTCATCATGATGTAGTTTTTCTATTTTTAAAGGGCTCTTGAGTGCTGTCTTTTATAAGTTCTTGCATGCATGAGATTGTCTATTGCTGCAGTACTTGAAAAACGGGTACCCTGAGTGTAAAATTCATGGAATACCCTGTGTTTTGCTCAGAACACACAGATTTTCCTTCACTGTCTTCTGGGATGGATGTTGCTGTGCAGAAGTCTGAGGCCAGCCTGTTTCCTTCATAGGCACAACTTGCTCTTTCTGATTGGTGGCCTGTATAATTCTATCTTTATCCTCAAAGTTCTCTCACTTCAGAATATTCTAGGGTTTTCCTTCACTGTCTTCTGGGATGGATGTTGCTGTGCAGAAGTCTGAGGCCAGCCTGTTTCTTTCATAGGCACAACTTGCTCTTTCTGATTGGTGGCCTGTATAATTCTATCTTTATCCTCAAAGTTCTCTCACTTCAGAATATTCTAGGGGTAGATCATTAGTATCCTCCCCCCGCCCCCCGGGGCATTGTGTAGCCTTTGTTCTCTTTATTTCAAGATAGTTTTTAATTTAATTTAATTATTTTTTACTTTTGACTTAGTTGTTCTCTTAGGGAACAGCCTGCACGCACATGGGGCATCTCCTTTCTCTGTCTCCTGTACCCATTCCTTCCTCTCCGAACATGTTTATATCTTGTCCATTTACATTTCACTTTACTCCGTTTCCTCGAGTTGCCACATTGCTGCATGTTAGGTCATGTGCACTGTGGGGTTTTGTGCTGCTTTTCCCTTGTTCCTTTCTTCCCAGCTGTAAGAAAAATAATCT